TCACTTATCTAATCACTACATAGTATAAAACAAAGTCGCTTTCTCTGTCCCTATATCTGTCCCTATGTATGCTTAAATCATTAAAACTACGCAACGGATTTTGATGCGTTTTTTTTTAATAGATAGAGTGATTGAAGAGGAAGGTTTATATATATAATAACATGCATTAAATAGTGGAGGAATCAATAATAAATTACAGTTTCCGAAGCGAAGCGAGGGCGGGTCGCTAGTTTATTATGTGTCATAGAAGTAATGTAGCTACCCTAAATGTGTCCCTGTTGAATTCATTCAGCATGACGGGCTGCGAAGAGTCCATTAAAATTGCTTAACTGACATTGTTATTGATGTGTTAATATGTCTCTCGGCTTTGCAGACATCATTTCAATAACCTCAACCTACAAAACTAACATCGGTTCAATGGTATTGTTTCTATTCATATTCTTAATGCAAAACAGTGAAGTAAAATTTTCTTTTTTTGTTTCTTTTGAATTTTTATCTTTTTTTATAGTTATTGAGGAGTTTGATTGTAATCAATAAATTATTTATGGAAATAAAAAGTTTGCCTCAAATTGTTAATAACGAAATAGGAAAAGAAATTTATTGCATGCAATGATACGAAATGTTATGGTGCAATGATTTTGTTCTAAAATGTTAATCGAATGCCCAAGACAAGGCAAGTGCAATTTAAGTGAGATTTTTATTTCCAAAGTACTCATCCGACCTTACGGTTCTAATGTGGTAAACTACTACTAAACTGGTCCTACCACCAGTAAACTACTGGTGGTAGGACCACTTGTGAGTCCGCGCGGGCTGGTACCATCGCCCTGCCTATTTCTGCCGTGAAGCAGTAATGCGTTTCGGTTTGAAGAGTGGGGCAGCCGTTGTAACTATACTGAGACCTTAGAACTTATATCTCAAGGTGGGTGGCGCATTTAAGTTGTGGATGTCTATGGGTTCCAGTAACCACTTAACACCAGGTGGGCTGTGAGCTCGTCCAACCATATAAGCAACAAAAAAAAAATTTTTTTTGAGACCTATGGAATATCATAAAACAAAATCTTTCCAATTGATATTAATATCGTAAGTAATATGTACTGCAATAGCGTGGTATTTATTTACGTTGTCTATGTACTTTGCAAGATCCATTTTCGATTACATTAGAAATAAAGACTATAAGAAATAAAGATTTGTTCTTAGACAAACGTTATGTCATTATTCAAACGAGGCTTGTGGAGAGTACATAACGATAGGCAGCGGCTTGGCTCTGCCCCTGGCATTGCCGAAGTATATGGGTGACGGTAACCACTTACCATCAGGTGGGCTATATGGGCGTGGGTCGAGCGACGAGTATGGTTTGATTCTTTAATTACTGAACTATAATTGATTAAGTAATTGAAACTATACTCCTTATAATGACATCATTGATTAAGTAATCAAAGCTATACTCCCTAGAATGGCAGTTAAGGTATAAAATACAATGACAGTCCTACATCAGCTCGTCGTCCCATTTTGTTATCGCATATAAGTAGAGGATACCACCGCGTCTACGGGTAATCGACTGTCGAAACAGAATGGCATCGACCTATAGGTCAAGGTTTCATAGCATTATCCCACATCTGTCCGAAGCATAATTAGTCTGTAGTTGTCGTAGCCTAAAGGATAAGACGTCCGATGCATTCGTGTTGAGCAATGCACCGGTGTTCGAATCTCAGGCGGGTACGATTGACTTCTACGGTGAAGAAATAACATCGTGTAATAAAAATCAAACCCGCAAAATTATAATTTGCGTAATTACTGGTAGTAGGACCTCTTGTGAGTACGCGCGGGTAGGTACCACCGCCCTGCCTATTTCTGCCGTGAAGCAGTAATGCGTCTCGTTTTGTTTGAAGGGTGGGGCAGCCGTTGTTACTATACTTGAGACCTTAAAACTTATATCTCAAGGTGGGTGGCGCATTTACGTTGTAGATGTCTATGGGTTCCGGTGACCACTTAACACCAGGTGGGCTATAAGCTCGTCCATCCATCTAAGCAATTAAAAAAAAATTAGTTGGCGGCAAAATGGAATTGAAAATCCCATGCTCACAAAACACTTATAAGTCAGTGAGCGAAGTATACTTATAAATACATGCTATTGCATTACAATCATTACAATACCGTTTTTTTTTTGTTTTATCAGCTTAATACAAACACTCATGTTGTAGTAATTGAACTGAATAATAACTGACTCGGTGGTGCGGTAGTTAGCGCACTGACTATTGCGCTCAGGGTCGTGGGTTCGATTCTCACATCGGACAAACATTCGTGTGATGAACAGTTCCCTTTGCTCTTCGTCTGTCTGTTTATTATCTATATATGTATATTTTTAAACGTATGTATGTATGTCAATCTCTGGTGGTCATAACACAAGGAATCCTAATTTGGGGCCGGATGACCGTGTGTAATTTGTTCCCAATTATTTAGTATTTATTTTAATAATATAATTAAAGCAATAGGCTGATTTGTTCTCAAGATGTATTTATCAGAATTATTAGCGTTGTTCCTCAAAGAAAACGATCGTGAAGCATAATGTATAATAATTATAAGTTATATTAAATTTTAAATAATACTACAAATAATTATTTTAATTGTAGGTATGTATGTAATTCTTTTTTTTAATCGAAAAACGTAAATAGAATTTATTGTAATTAACATTTCGAAAGTAAACTCAAAAAACGGACGATTTCATGTTTTTAAATAATGTTAACTGTTAAATAAATTTGCAGTAGGCAGCGGCTTGGCTCTGCTCCTGGCATTGCTGTAGTCTATGGGCGATGGTAACCACTTACCATCAGGTGGGCCGTACGCTCGTCTGCCTACAACGGCAATAAAAAAAAAAGTTTATTATTTATAACGTTATTTAATAATTAACATTTTATTAATGTTTAAATAACAATTCTATTCGTTTTAATGATTATTAAAAGAGACAACGACTTATTTATTATATTATTGTAAAATTATATTTATTTAATAATTCGTAGAACTAAGTACAATAATGCACTTATTATTAATAAAAGCAATAAACGTGTCATAATATTATATTAAATTTTAAGTCACCTATAAAATAAAAATAATTAATGTATCCTTCGGGTGTTTTATTTCGAACTTTTTATTATTTAATAATATAATTAATGTTGCTTTTTAATTGACTGCATAAAAGAGTTTATATTTAACTAATATTTACATAAATAAATACGAGTAAGTACACTCGTTTTTTTTTTTCTTCTTTTAAAATATTATTAAATAGTTTCAGGGTTGACACTAATAAAGTTTTGATTAATTAATTGTTTTCAATAAACTTATAGTTACATAAATAAATACGAGTAAGTACACTCGTTTTTTTTTTCTTCTTTTAAAATATTATTAAATAGTTTCAGGGTTGACACTAATAAAGTTTTGATTAATTAATTGTTTTCAATAAACTTATAGTTACATAAATAAATACGAGTAAGTACACTCGTTTTTTTTTTCTTCTTTTAAAATATTATTAAATAGTTTCAGGGTTGACACTAATAAAGTTTTGATTAATTAATTGTTTTCAATAAACTTATAGTTACATAAATAAATACGAGTAAGTACACTCGTTTTTTTTTTCTTCTTTTAAAATATTATTAAATAGTTTCAGGGTTGACACTAATAAAGTTTTGATTAATTAATTGTTTTCAATAAACTTATAGTTACATAAATAAATACGAGTAAGTACACTCGTTTTTTTTTTCTTCTTTTAAAATATTATTAAATAGTTTCAGGGTTGACACTAATAAAGTTTTGATTAATTAATTGTTTTCAATAAACTTATAGTTACATAAATAAATACGAGTAAGTACACTCGTTTTTTTTTTCTTCTTTTAAAATATTATTGAATAGTTTCAGGGTTGACACTAATAAAGTTTAAATTAATTAATTGTTTTCAATAAAGATATCGACGCTTGAGAGGCAAACGTGGCTAAGCGACAATAACTGTGCTGTGACAATAACAACTGCTTTGTACATAAATGATAGGCAATAACCATATTCGATGCGCAAAAATAATATATATCTAGGTCTATTAAAATCATTTCAATCCTACAACTAGATTCGTTAAAATATATTTTTTTTTTTAGGTATTTCAACTTTAAATTAGTCTACTGTAAAGTTCACGCATTGTCGCTTAGTCACGTTTGCCTTTCAAGCGTCGATATATTCTATTCATAGACACAGTCCATGACCAAATTGAAATGTTTTTTCTGTGAGCATGGCTCAATTGGATATTAGGTGATCACCAGTACTCACGAACACTAAAATGTCGCCACCCTTTGAGAAGTAAGGCCGACTTTATTTTGTACTAATATAATATTATAAAGATTTGTTTGTTTGTTTGTTTCGAATAGGCTCCGAAACTACTGGACCGATTTGAAAAATTCTTTTTCCATTAGAAGCCGACATTGTCCCTGATGAACATAGGCTACTTTTGTAAAATTTTTTTTAATTTTTTTTTGTTTTCATGTGTGTTTTAATGTTTCCGAAGCGAAGCGAGGGCGGGTCGCTAGTAATATTATAAAGAGAAAAGATTTGTTTGTTTGTTTGTTTCGAATAGGCTCCGAAACTACTGGACCGATTTGAAAAATAATTTTTCCATTAGAAGCCGACATTGTCCCTGATGAACATAGGCAATTTTTTTTTTTTTGGTTTCATGTGTGTTTTAATGTTTCCGAAGCGGAGCGAGGGCGGGTCGCTAGTTTTGTATAATGATCGTCTAATCACAGACACAGCCCACTGAGTTTCTCGCCCCTCTCAGCGGGTCGCGATTCCGATCCGGTAGTAGATTCTGCGAAGCACTCTTGCTAAGCAAATTCTCTCAGTTTGAGTCCGTGAGCTCACGTACCCGTCCGGGCGTAGCTGGTATAGCCTCATAGGCTACCAACGAATAGGTAGGAGGTAATAATAACATACGCTACACTTTTTAAGCCGTAATAGATAATTCTTTATATGGAGCGCTTCATCTAAAATTTACCAATAAAATTTTTAAATTAAACTTTTAAATCGCATTTCTACAGATGGTGCTTTCTCGACTTATCAGCTTCAGTATCTATACTAATATTATAAAGCTGAAGAGTTTGTTTGTTTGAACGCGCTAATCTCAGGAACTACTGGTCCGATTTGAAAAACTCTTTCAGTGTTAGATAGCTCATTTATTGAGTCACGGCAAGGCCAATACAAGTGGAGCACCAATAAAGAATGTTTCATAATAGTGGTTAAAATAACTCCTTAATATTCTATAATTCAAAAATATTTTCACTTTCTACGTAAATGAAGTGGAGGTAAAATTTAGTGTTATGCCAAAGTAACTATTCCACGCGGACGGAGTCGCGGCCAAAAGCTAGTAATAATAATAATAATAATAATAATAATGTTTTTATTGCAAGTAACCATGACTCATATAAATTGTTAATAAGACTTAGACCTATGTTAGTAGTTATATTTACATCACAATGAATTACTGTCGTAACATCCCATGGGAGATGGCACCACAGCGACCCATGTATACACAGTCCAGCCTGCTTGCGATCATGCTCAGGATACTGTTGGAGCTGNAGTTTTCATGTTAATTTAGAGTTTTTGTTTTATTATTATTATTATTTGATTTTTTGTTTTTTATTATTATTATTATTGTTTTTGTTTTAGTCCGAGATTAGTTATTATTTTTATTTAATTTTAGTATAAATGAAATGTTAATGCAATGTAATTAAGACGTGTAATATGGATGTAAAATCTGAAGTAAATTAAATAAATAAAAAAAATAAAAAATTATCCACCTTCTTATTTTCACAGTCGGGTATTCTTGATAAAACTAATCGTGGTCAATTAAGACAATCAGTTGCATCTCGTGCAACGCTACGCCAGTTATTTCGAGCTTCTACTTCTCTCCAAGAGAAGAAAGAACAACAACTTACCGCTGTCAGCAATGTCTTATCGTTTTTATCAGACTGTGTCAAGGTTTGCGACAGTTCCACCATGAAAATGCTACCCTTCTGACTCCCGCAAGCCACGAGCGTACCCTGAAGATAAAGCAGTGGCCACTATATAGTTTGGTAAAAAGCTATTTTGTTCATAATGACCGTCACTTGCAATGACGTTGTCAGCTGACGTTGCGGTCTTTTACTATTGTTAGCAGCGTAGTTAGTTTTCAGCCATATGTCGTTAAATCGCTGGTTTATACTAAAAATGTGTTCCTGTTCTAGAGCTAAATACATTATTGTTACAACATCAAGACTTTCTAAAATACATATAAATAATTGAAGCTGGACAAGTACAAGATCATTTTTCTTTGCGCTAGAAAAGCGGGCAAGCCCACTGTCCACCTGCTGGCAATGGCTGGTTACTAGACGTAATAACGTGGATATCACTACGTAACTTGAGACATGAGAAATAACTTCTATCCCAAACTTAAAATCTGTGGAGTGCTGACGTAAAGGATGACGTTGAGGCAAAGTATTGCTGCATAAATAGGCAGGATGGTGGCTGCGCCCACCTATCCGTGTGAGTTGTCCGAATATGGGAAACAAACACCACTTCTATATTATAGATTACTATATTATCTACTTGTAAAATATATTCTACACAATTCTTTTCTAAGTCTTACTTTCAATAGATTCAGTATCAAAAAAATCAAACAAGAAACAAATAAAAAGAAAGAAAAGATTAATTATCCAACCCTTTCATGAGTTTTGAGCCTCAAAAGCGGTTCATCACAGACGTGCATAGTGAGTACGGGCTCATGCTGACGCCGCAATATGTCCCACGTCGCTAGCGTGCCGTTCCACTGAGCCAGCAGCATCAATGAGGACCTAGAAACAGAGTTCGCAAATTATCAACCTACATAGTTGTATTTTAAGCAAGCCCATCTAGCTAGACACTCCACCCAGCATACCACTGCTCATATTCATCCATATAGAGTGAAACCTCAATTCCACTGGCCCATTCCAATTACAGGAAGTCCTATCGATGGCGGCTGTCCTATTCTACAAATATGAACAAAAGGTTGATTTGCAGCAGAAATAGGCATGGTAGTGCTACTTTACACAGGAATTGGGGGATTTGGAATTATGGAGTAAAGTAGGAAAATATGTAAGAGCATTACTCGTGTGTGTAGATGGCAGTAGCTCAAAAGGGCAAGTCACATGGTATCTCATTTTATAAGTAGTTATCGGACATAGTTGTTATCCTTAACCTAAATTTTATTATGTTTCATAAACATGTTATGTATACTATATTTTAAAACACGTTATACATTTTATATATGTTAAAAACATAATATAACGTATAATATAATGTATACGGTATTTACGCTCTTTTATTACTGAAATGTTTTGAGTCACGTGACATGTTCTCCTTCAAACACGCCTTAGGGAGAGTATTCAATAGTAGGCAGCGACTTGGCTGTGCGCCTGGCGTGGCTCACGTCGGTGAACGACGGTGACCACTTACCATCAGGTAGGTCATATGCTCGTTTGCTTAAAAAGGCAATAAAAAAATAGTGGATTGTATCCCAGTCCTACAAAATTCTGCTACGATGTTTCGATTCCAGTTTGTAGCTTAGGAGGGGCCGCCCTTCTAATTTCATGGAAACTTCGACTTTGTATTATTAAATTGCTTGGGATGTGATATCAATGAACTCAGGTAGCTGATTAGTACCTTTTTTTTTTTTTTTAACGCTGGGGAATCCCTTTACGGATACCCGGTCGAGAGGGGTAATAGACCGGGTTATGTCGGACTCCGGCGCCTCCAGAGAAGAAGAGGAAGAAGAGGAAGACCAAAGTCCTCCTCTTCTTCCAATTCCTACCGGGAGACTACGCCTTGAGAAAGGTATTATTACATTGTGCGGTACCGTAGGTTTCGTGGAGTCGAAGTGGTGGAGCTCGATGGGGTTTAGTCGGTAGCTGATTAGTACCTAGTGTAGCTTGGGATCGTATGGACTCTCGTATTCGTATCGATCGTAAAAGAAACTCTAAATAAAAATATCCATATACCTAGTTGGACTCCAAGTACCAGCAGTGATCTTGTGCCGATGTAGAGGAGACCATAGTACGGGAGATTCGCGACAGTCCTCGCTCCAAATTCGTGCTGTCCAATCTCCAACGGTTAGAAAATTTTTCAAAAATCCCGGATTACGCTCCAGGGACCAGATGGGACCCAGGTGCGCTTCCATCTGAAATACAATTTTGAAATTTTACTACCAATGTCGAATTCTCGGATATTTGGATCTCTTATGGTCTGTCTAAATGTGTAGATCTGTTTGACTATTCCTTCTAATATAAAATACTTTAATAATAGTTACAGTACCCAGGAGCCTCTGGGTCTGCGGAGGGACTTCGGTTCCCTCTGTATTTTGTACCGTATGTTCCATGGGGAGTGCTCTGAGGAATTGTTCGAGATGATACCAGCATCTCGTTTTTACCATCGCACCGCCCGCCACCGGAGTAGAGTTCATCCATACTACCTGGAGCCACTGCGGTCATCCACAGTGCGTTTCCAGAGATCTTTTTTGCCACGTACCATCCGGCTATGGAATGAGCTCCCCTCCACGGTGTTTCCCGAGCGCTATGACATGTCCTTCTTCAAACGAGGCTTATGGAGAGTATTAAGCGGTAGGCAGCGGCTTGGCTCTGCCCCTGGCATTGCTGAAGTCCATGGGCGACAGTAACCACTCACCATCAGGTGGGCCGTATGCCCGTCTGCTTACAAAGGCAATAATAAATAAAAAAAAGTTTGATGTTTTAATAAATCGAAAACAATGGGAGATTTTTGGGGTCATTCATATTTATTGGTACTGTACCTTAAGAGGTATTTTCTCTAACGGTGTCTTTCCTTTACGGTTGCCTCCGATGATAAGTCCGTTTTCAGTTCCAGCCATGAAGCGCGTCGGCATAGTGGGCTCGAATTCTAATGCTGTCACACCGTTAGCTTTAGCCATCGTTTGAACGTCAAATGAAGACTTCACTGCATCTAAAATCATCTCTTCCACAGGCTCACTCATGTTTCGGATGTCCCACCACTTACAGGCCCCATCTGATCCTCCGGAGAAGAATTCTAGTCCTGATTTAGAGTTGATGAATATGACGTTTCGCACAAGATCTCGATGGGCGACATGCGGCGGACATGTGAGAGTTGGATCGCCGCCTTTTCGTGCGTCCCATACGCCGACCTGTCCATTGACCAAACCACCAGCCATAAGGTTTTGATCACGAGGATTATATATCAAATCTAAGAGCGGGCATGGTGGTGTGAACGTTACTTCTGGTTGATTCGCGTTCTCCAAGTTCCAAATGTAAGAGACAATGGGCGCTCGCGCGTTGCGGTTGAAGTCCACGTCGATGTAGGTGACTGCGAAGCGTTGGCCGCCATCAGGCTGCCAGCATATGGAGCTGACCGGTCGCGTCGCTTCCGTTCCATCACCGTCGCGATACACGTTCACAGTGCGACAGCTGATGCGTTCCAGTTCTGGCATAGATGGCATTTCTGCATAGTACGTTCGGTACATGTCGATGGCGTTGTTTTGGAGCACGTAATGATCCATCTCCTACATAATACAAATACAGAGCTATGATTATAATATACCGTAGAGAACGTGTTTTGTTTGTGGATGTTGTGATGTTTTCTCGTTATTGCTGCTTTGGTTTAGTAATTACTGTCCGTGACAACTGTACGACGGGATATTAGAGGTCTTGGACTACAAGAAAAATTACAGAACATTGTACAATAACAGATATTCTTTAGTATTTTATTCGTCTTTCGTATTCTATTGCCCGACATCAACTCGTCGACCTGTTCTGAAGTTGAAGTTCCAATAATTGGAACGCATGGACACTAGATCATGAATACAACCACCCACCTTGAGACACAGGTCAGTCAAAATAGTATTGTGTCAGAGTTGACTGTCACCTTTCAAACCAAAAGAGATGATTGCTGTACTTGCGGCTTTTTTACAATACATATAATTTTTTTACACTTGTCAAGTCGGTGTTTACTTAGAAAAATAAAGTATCCTTAAATTAGAAAAATAAAGTAGTATTACAGGACATGAACAACAGAATTGTCACATTGCTTGATATTCTTATGAGTTAGACCACAACAACTTCAAACAAACTCTTTGTTTACGATAAATAGCATGAAATATTCCTTGCAGGTCACGTTTTTTGCCCGAGGATCATCGCGGCATTCAGTAGAATTCAGCGAATCGTTTCAAAAAATTTCATATTTTTAGCGATCACGAAGAATTGAGGCGTCAGGTAATTTAGAATAAATATGGTTGCTAAAAACGGCTTATACTTTGAATTTTATTGATTCCATTGGCGACTTATTTCTTTCTCGCATACCTACCGGAGCAGTGGACATGACGCAGTTGATGTAGTTGTCATCTTTTTCAACTTTACGTCGGTACCGCTGTGTGGCTTCGGGATCGATGACGCTGACATCTTTAGGCCACCCACCTTCCGCGTGGTTCGCTCCTGATGAGCTGTAGTCCGATCTACAATGTCACAGAGCGCTTAAATTAATGTCCCTGGCTAAGCAGTGCTCATATACGTGCCCATACTCAGCAGCGCTCATATACGTGCCCCTGTACTGTTGTTATGTTTACTGTTTGTGAGTCACTTATTGCTAAGTGGAAGCTGAAGTCAATTGACAAGTTCCAACGAGTCCAACGAGTGCTCATGGTAGATAACTATTGAATGATGATCGCGTCGTAGCCATTTGTAAGCAGTCATGAAATCTGTGAGGAGAGCACTTGATGTATGTATTTTACATAAACTTGTTTTATTGCTATACGTTTTTTAATTATTAAGTCTGCAGAATGTTACTATACAGATATCTGGAAATAAGTAAAAACTGAATTTTCAAGTAACAGTGATGAAGGCGAGCATAGAGAACACTTGGAACACGGATAACTACAGACGTCTGGTTAAAATGAAATGTTGCTAAGACTAGAAAGACTACCTGATGGTATTAGCGTTGTTTTCAGAATAGAAAGGAGTGTGCTGCGTGGGCTGGTGCACGGGGTTCCGCAGGATAAAGTTCTTGTGCTCGACGACGTTCGTGGTGATGCTGTCGCACATCTCCGGGCCCTGCTCGCAGAACTGAGGCTGACCACCGAAACGGCATCGTTTCTTAGAATACTGATACGAAATATCCATAGCAAAATAAAATATTACTTATAAAATAACAAAATTTACAAAACTGCTGTATAGATGTCAGAAGATAAATGGATAAAAGTTTGATAGATTTTTTATTTATTGTCATTATTCGACGTTTTTCTTTTTACCATATAGGTTTTATGAACTAGCGAGTTATTGAAGACCCAATCTCTAATGTTCACAAAATTTGACTGCCACTAATCAGCATATTGTGACCCTATCCGAGTATGGTGCACCGTCCTACTGATCTCTACCGCGAAGCAGTTATAAAATTTATGTCTTGCCTCATATCTATCTATGAGGTTTACGGGCTCGAGTAACTATTAGTATTAACAATTAAGCCGTAACAATATTTTAGTTATGCGATAGTGCGGGTGACGTGAATCTCTTTTATTATTATAGTTACAGGGGTAATGGAACTGCGCACCGGCACAGACAATTTGACTCCCGTAATTATATTAGTCTGATTGTATTGCGTACTCGTAATGTTTTAACTGATTAGTATTGAGAAACTGTTAATATGCAGACTATTTAACAATCATTCTACGTGAGTGAACACGTGTCCATATTGGTGACTACATCACTAGATCTCTAGTTGACAGCTCCTGTCCACCTAGTGTGATGGTCCTTAATCCTTGACACCTTAATGATCACACAGTTATCACACTATTTCTTCTTCCCTGAATAAATTGACTAGATAAGTTTGTATTGCTTGCCAAGCTAGGGCGGGCCACTAAGCGCCACTGCTCCAGGCGTCTTACCTACACGAACACGAATATAAGTATAGTCAGTATTGCCTGTTAATTTTGATTTGTCATAGTCAGCCCGTAACCACAACTACCCCGTTTCTCACTAGCTTATCATATTACAACCATTTATTGTTCAAAGTTAAGTTTAAATTTCATAAATCTTTTTCTACTGAATTTTTGCAACAACTGTATCTGCTGTCCCAATTTTTAAGCAATTCTGATAATTATTATTACTGCTACAGTAAAAACCGAATCATTATAAAACTACTAAATTTTCATCAGGAACAATCGTCATTTTACGATTATAATAATAGGAATCGTCAGCCAAAATTACAACGTTGGTACTATTACCAGCTATCTGCTACTCGACAAATGTGTTTAATATTGTTCAGGTCGACCTTAAATTTGGGATTTTATGTGCCATTCGTTCAGTGCTGCGGCGTTCTGCGCGCTCAGATCCTGAAAGTTTTGACGTAGAGCTGGACCTTGCCTATCTTATGTCTTTATTCAATTCGTATTCGATTCCTACATACTGCTTCACAAATTTTGGGGTGTCTGATTGAATTTCCGATTTCCTTGCGATCCACCAAAGAAACTCTTAAATACCAAACTCCTATTTGAAAATTAATATAAATAAAGTTTCAGTGTACCTACAGCTACGGTACATTTTACATAAAACTCGAACAAAACTAACTGTAATAATTACCATTTACTATAGAAACACAACAGTGACGAATCCTTAGTTGTTGTGACTATGCGAACATTCGATTAATAAGAAGCGAACGTATAAAGAAACACAACAAAAACTTATCTGGCGTTGTCCTTCAAGATAGTAAATTATTAGTAAGATAATGTGAAGAAACCAGTCGAGCAGTAGCTGTGAGTGATTGTAGTGCTATGTGGAGTTACCATGTGCGTGTCAATAAAGTGGGTCGTGCTGTGGAGTCTTTGGGCGGGAAGGCTGGTGCGGCAACCGACTCCGGCAGTGAGACTGAGTAACCATCGGCTCGTCAGCGGGCAGGTTGCCCCGGACGGGTCACATGTTCAATATTTTGGGATACCTTATGCTACTGTTCGACGTAGACACAGGTTCAAGGTCTTGTTATTAATTTATAGATAATCACAATGTGAACGATTGAGTTTTTGCATTCGACAAACTGAACAATTGTTAAGCACTTTCGATTAATATCCTTTATATTTTAATCACTTTACAAGTTTTGAATGATTTATATCTGAGTTTTCACGTTGCAGGCAGCAGGTCTAGAGCCGGAATGGGATGGTGTGTTCAATGCTGTAAATGAACATGTGAGGTGTCCACAAAAATTTGCTGACAACTTTGTTTGGGGCCAAGAGGATTGCCTCATTATAAATATTTTCCATCCACTTTACTCAGAAGTCGATAAACTTTTACCGGTGAAAGTTTTCATCCATGGAGGTGGATTCCGTGAAGGATCATCGTCGAGACTTCTATTTGGCCCAGATTACCTGGTCCGTAAGAATATTGTCTTAGTGACCTTTAACTACCGAGTAGCCGTAACTGGGTTTTTGTGTCTCGGAATCAAAGATGCTCCAGGAAATGCAGGATTGAAAGATCAGGTTGCAGCACTGAAGTGGGTTCAACGAAATATCAAAGTTTTTGGCGGCGATCCCGACAATGTGACGATTTTCGGAGAAAGCGCCGGTGCTGCGTCTGTTTCTTTACATATCGTTTCACCAGCTTCTAAAGGTCTTTTCCATAAGGCTATCCTCCAAAGTGGGTCGTCGATATCACCATGGGCTGTCGAATTCGAACCAATTAAATATGCTAGCAGAGTAGCTGAAGTCTTAGGATATAAAACCATGGATCCGTATCAACTTTATGACATTCATATGAACCACACCATAGAAAGTATTGTGGGCGCGCCCGTCCCATTACTAGAAAGTCAAGTAGCAGCAGCTCAGCTAATTAATTCTCCCTGTATTGAAAAATCACACCCTGGTGTGGAGCCATTTCTTCTAGAATCGCCATTCGATATTTTTACCAGAGGTGAATACAACAAAGTACCAGTGATTTTAGGAGTCAATGACAATGAAGGCTACTATTTTTCAGGCCTAGAGGACTCTTCTACTCTTACGCGTTTTAAATTTGAAATCGGTTTACCAAGAAATTTACGGATTCCAGCTGAACTCAAGAAAGAAGTTTGTCAGAAATTGCACAAGATGTACATGAGCGAGGATTCAAATTCAATGGAGAGTATTTTGAAGTTTTTGAAGTACCATGCTGATCCGTTTTTCTTGTATCCAGCTTTTGCTGAGACAAAACTACTCTTGCAGAATAATGATCTGCCAGTCTATAATTATTATTTTCGATATGATGGATGGAGGAACTTTGTCAAATTGATCTCAGGATTTTGGGCGGAACCAGGGGCGTCCCACGCTGATGATCTTATGTATTTGTTCAGTATTTTTCCAGTACCAACTTTATTTGAGAGTAAAATCATTGACAGAATGACGACGATGTGGACTAATTTCGCTAAATTTGGGTAAGTCTTTTTTTCTCTCTTAAAAATTCATTTTATTAAAGTAATGTGGGTGCGAAGACTTCAAATTTAATTATTTTTTTTAAATTTTGGCGAATATTCATTGAAATCTTCTGTTGGCATAAAGTTTCTCTTTTTACCATGGAGGGTAATATTTTTCGGGCGTGTGTTCTTCTAATTATTGACACACTCTTCACTCTTAAATAGCTTTTCAGGTATAAGATATCATCAGATTAAACTAATAATTAGTTGTCAGAGGTGACTAAGTTATAATTAATATATTTTTAAATGTGGTTGGTATCTGCAAAAAAAGATAAATCAGCAATGATACATTGTGTTCTGTAATGAAAATTCATTTATTTGTATTCAATTAATTGCACAAGCAAATAAGTAAAAAGTATTTGTGTGTAATTTATCCGTCCTTGTCTGTAATGCTTCTACTGAGATTCAAGTTTTAATTAGCTACAGTATATTTGTAGCGTGCAACATTCGCTGCACTCGGGCGTCATCGGTCGCGATCGGAGTTCCCGAACGCGCAGGTGTCCCGTGACGTCATGCTACGAGTTTCGCGCGCGTCGATTTATTGTAAAAACGTAATTTTAGTTTCAATTGGTATCTTATAGTGTCTAGTTTTGTTTACTCATTTTAATTTATATTATATTATAACATTGTATTCATTATAGATATTGTGGAATTGGTGTGTTTGACTTTTATATGTTCGAAGTAAAATATCCCGTGAATGCGAAGGACAATTAACAAACCACAGTGGATATATACAATGTTGCATATTAAACAGATATCACAGAGCTTGATTTTAATCAGTTCTTTTAATTATAGTTATTTAACTACTTTAATAAGTTAGTGCAGTGGGTTTATTGTTTTATTTAATGACAAATTTTATTACTGTAGATTTGGGATCGTATCACATAAAATAAAAATATTCCACTGTTACACTTTAACTCTTCTCTTCCAAATCTTCTTTATTATATTAATTAAAAATTAATTGACACTCTTCTTGTGCCTTTTTCATTTATCCGTCTTCGCCATCTTCCTTTTCTCTGTCATTCTGTCTGTCATTTTCTTTTCTCTTTCTTACTGTTTTCTCTCCCTCACCTTAACGCTCCGTTTCACTCTCTTTTCATACGTTCCATTTTTACCAATTCTACATTATCATCTACACGGATCGATAAACCGGTTGTTGGCCTTCTGTGTTACAGAGTCATCGCATATAATTATGATACTATATTACCATTCACCTTGAGGGGTGAGAACAAACATTATAATACTCGGTATCTTATTCATAAAAACAGAAAAGTGTAGCGAGTACACTTACTCATGAGCGTCACGGTCAGCAGCCACTGTTTGCAGTGCTGTTACAATAAGAATTTTGCCGATGGGAACAGTTGAACTCTTGCGCTGATTTTGATTTAGCTGTCTCTCGAACAAGAGACTTTTGGACTGATGACTAATTCAACATTAATGTTATAATATTGTAATTTCATGTATGAAAATTTTTTTCCAGAGATCCAACACCGGAGAAGACAGACCTTTTACCCATAAAATGGTATCCGACGAATCAAAGTTTTACGAAAACTCTCGTTATCGATAAGGAATTTACAATTACATCATTCAAGCACAACTCATTTGATTTCTGGCACGATCTTTATAAAAAATATCGTAGAAAAAATTAACTAACGTTATGTTTTGTTAGGTTTTGTTGAATAATAAAATTTGTTGGGCGCAGCTGTTCGAATTATTACGACTACTTATCCATTCTTCTAATTCTAATACCCGTTTAGCAAGGTCAGTTTTGTAAGTTTGAATCACGGACGGTTTATGTGTGACCGCCACGTCAAGCATAAATGTATTAATATGTATGTACATAGTATTAACCACAGAGAGGCCACCGACGTAGGCATACATACAATGAATGTAATAAATATTAAAATTCATAAGTGTAAGAATTTTGCAAGAGGAATTTACGAGGGTATTGTCGTAAAAGTCTTTGGCCGGCTTTTTATGGCGGCGTCATTATAAGTATGGAAGGTTTTTGGCGGTGCTGATTACAATGCGACCCCGCTTACATTGTTTATTGGACAATGAATTATTTGCAAGCTCAGTAATTACTTTTCCTCTATTTTGTAAGTGAAATATGTTTATAATTTTGGACTTGTGTAAAAATTACATTAAAAATTTCTTTAGAGTTAAATCTTTCGATTATTTATTCATTTTATGATATGTAATGGTTCGTATTCCTCCTGTATGTAATTGATGAATTTTATATTTAGCCGTAGTCGTTTTTGAAAAGGTAGTTTTCTTCTTTAATCATGAATCCGAAGTCTCCATTTTATCAGGACAATAGCACCTAACCCTTCAAATCTAGCCAGTACAATGGTGCCCAACCCAGCGGGCTATCGACATGCCTAGCAACAAAAGTGGAGTAAGTAATTTGAAGTGATAATAACTTTTTATCAGTTTATTTTTAAACGTGATTAACAATTATTATTAAGAATGTGATTTACATTGCTGATAAAAATAATGCACAATTTATTTTAAAATATCTTTGTGTAATAAATTGAGGGGAACTAAAACAACAGATAAGGAATGAAATGAATAATAAATAGTATTGGAAACATCACAGCCGCTGTAATTATGTATTAATATTGTATTTTGTTTGATATCATAGTTTACGGCTGGCTCTCTGTTCTGTCCTGCAACCCGTCGTCAGCTGTCCTTAGGAATGATAGGGATTTCCCTGCGAAATAGAGATTGTAGAGCAGGATAGATAGACCGGAGAGTAAAGTTTAGTATTTTCTACTGTTTCCGCCAGTCTCAGTTACAAGCCAGGCAGTCATCCGTGACCATGAAACCGCGAAAGTAGTTTTAATTAAGGCAAAGTTTAAAAAGGATGAGAAAACACATGTCTAATGTGTACTAATGACTATCGACGTATGTTAGAAAAGTCGTAGGTGGTCGCTGAAGGAGTCTGGATTCGGAATAGATCTGTCTACTGCTTATAGGAAGTAATACAATTTTTGCATGTTAATATTATCCATGGCTTTTCAGTTAGCTGAATGTAGCCTAGTTTATGGAGATTCAACGAATTTAGTGAAATTTATTCTTTTAGATTCTAAAGTATTCATTTTATTTTATCTTGCAGTATTTCTTAGAAGCGCAAATGATTGTTCCGCTTACCTATCCTATTCCCAACTAATTATACTATACCGCATTAAGCATGAATTAAAGCAATATTCCTCTGGAATTCACCCACCCGAAATTCCTTAATAATAAATAGCGAGACCAAAAGCTATACGGCTTATACAGAGCTTAGGTGCATCCAATTTGGCACCTGCAAACTCTCATACAATAGGCGACCCACTTTCAACATTACTGCCAGAATTCGTTCTAAGAGCAGTTAAAAAATATCTGTTGTTTAATGAGGATCGTCCGCTCAGCGGTAAACACACGGGGACGAGAAAATATCGAAACTGTGAAACAAAACACAATTTTCAGACGATGACAACAATGAATTGTAACGCGCCATCGCTTCATTCAATTTTTGATACATTTATTGTTTTATTTTGACGTACAAGGCTGATTCTCTTAGAATAATATTTTATGTTTTAAATTCGTCGCCGCAATGTATACAGGGGCAAATAAAAAAGTGGTCGCAGAGTATTCGGTGGTGCAGAGGTTGGTGCCTGATTGCGTCCGGCTCGTCACAATGCACCATTGTTGAGCACATTTCGAAAAAAGAGAAATATAAAAACAAACACAAAAGCTTTTCCTTGATATAATGAGGACAGAAATAAATGTTATGAAATTTTCCATTTTGTTCAGTTAAGCGTTCTCGTTGTCTTTGTTATCTTTAGGTAGTACGAACGTTGTTTTGTGCATTAAGCACAGGTTTGATGGGGTGGGGCTACTTTCTAAGTAATTTATAGTTTGTAATCTATTGTTTGTTTGTTCAAGGCCCCCAGGTGAGGTAGGGGGTTTCAACAGTATCTCTTCATCGCAAGTGGCCTTGGGCTGCGTGACTTGGACCTCCTTTGTCAGGATGTGTCGCGACACCTACGATATGTTGTCTGTTGGCCTTGATCACCACCGGACGCTAGGTGTTCCATGAGCTCGCCTGTGTATGCAGAGCAATAATATTAACAGTAATAAGTGGTTTATGTTGTTTTTCAATGATTCAAATATAATATAATACAAGCACGGTGTCTAACAAACTGAAATTACAAAAGGATGAAAGGACTCATCAATCAATCAATCAATGGGCCTTTTATCCTGAACTTTTAAAATGTTTCATTGAATTTTTGTGTGTTTTTACAGAAAGTCTTTCAGTTCAGTGTAGCTTTTGACATTAGCCTCGCCTAACATCTTCTATTGCTGTCTATCGTCAGCAACCTTTCACTAGTTGGGACCCGTTGACAACTTTAGCTTATCCTCCCATCGCATCTTTTGTCTTTCTCTATATCTTTTACGGTCTCTAGGGTACCATTGATAATCTTGCTCCAATTTTTTTGGGTACTTCAAAATAAATAACCCGTCCAAGTCCACTTTAGTTGATCCATCTTTACAAGCATAATTGCTACTCTAGTTTTTAATCTTAATGCTCAGACGTGTCATTTTTCCTATTAAGGTGAAACTTGAACAATAACTCGGGAAGAGCTGTTGCGCTTTGAGGAAGGTTTATGACTTACGACTATTTATTCACTTTTTTGTTTAAGTAGTTTGTATGTATTTAGTTTGATATAAATAATTATAATTTGAAAACGTTTATTGCTCCCGCCTGACTCGGTGGTAATAGCCGTCTGATCAATAGCTGAACAAACTGGGTCTGCAGTGTTGTAGTGTTGTTCCGGGGCCGACTCCGAACGCAAACAAAGCACTGGACAACTTTAAGCTCAGCTTTTAATAACTTCCTCGTCGGATGCCGCAGTTAGTCGAGTTTTCGAACAATGAGAGGACGCTTGTTTCCTAACCACGCCGCATCTTTGTTGTTCTAGTCTGCTGGTTTGGACAATGATGAACTATTTTATTTAAGCAGGGGCGGTGATACTGCCGCGATATCATACAGTCGAGTTTTAAGCTCAAGTCTCTCAGTCTGATGTCTATGGACTCCCACAAATACGGGCCGTGCAATAGTTTTTAGTTCATCTAGTTCAATAGAAATATTGCTATTGTTTTGGTTACAGTTGGCACTTGAGACGTTAACAATGTGAAGACATTACCAACAGTCTGTGACCGAGGGCTTCATCATAATATCTATGATTTTGATGGTTTTTTATTGATTGGAACTTTATATGAACGGAAAATTCATTTGATTCTACTATAAAACTATTATGACCAGAGTGATAAATGCGGTGATTTATTTTAAAGGTTTTTCCCATTGAAATTGGAATGAAATTAAACTTTAATTAATACATTATATAAACGAATTTCAGGTCAAATAAAATTTGTTTTTTTTAAATAAAGTTTTAACGTAATGAACGTTCATTATCTAGAATGTGGTATCATGTAGGTTCTGCTACGTAGGTAGGTGAGGTGGAACGAGTAAAGCCGAGGGCTACGCAAATATTGGCCCGGACTCGAGCAATTGATTGGTTACAGAGCCGTCCGCGTCTGACGGGAAAATATTGAAGCGAGCCCCTGTGTTTGGACAGGAGACTTGGTGCTTTCGTGATTTTATAAAAATACCTTTATTTTCTTATGTTATTAACTTTCTCTTGTCTGGTCCTCGACAGTAAGTATTGACTCGTTGTGCGTCATCGCGACCCAGTGCTAGCAATTATTTACTTCGCCTACGAATATGCGTAGGCTTGTTTGAAGTTCAGATAAGAAGTAATCCAAAGTTGCAGTATGATTTTCAGATAAGTAGAGAAGCATTTTAATTAAACTACATAGTAATAAGTGAGCTGCTCGGCTATCCACTCATGATCTAGTAAATACTGAACAAGCGAATGCTTAAGGAGCTCGGCCACTTTTTAGAGGCATTTTACTGTAATAGTGATTATTTTTAAGGTGTTTCGGGCGGTACTTAATAATACTATATATGGGAAGCATACACGAACTTAGACAATACATCCGTCCCTACTCAGTCCCACAACCCGCTTAACGCCAAAACTAGACGCAACAAGTCACAAATATCAACCGAACAAGAATTAAATGTTCACAAGTTTACTCACAAACTTATACCTGCCGGGGAGGTATCCGGGGTGCGAGGGTCTCCGAACAAACCACCTGCGATTCAGTGAACTCATTCCGTGAGGTGTAAATGAATTAGATTTTTTGAAGCCTTATTTTTAAAACAATGTTGTGAAATCTTAATGCTTTTTTTTTGCTTAGATGCGTGGACGAGCTCACAGCCCACCTGGTGTTAAGTGGTTACTGAAGCCCATAGACAACTACAACGTAAATGCGCCGCCCACCTCGAAATATAAGTTCTAAGTCTCAAGTATTATTACAACAGCTGCCCTACTTTTCAAACCGAAACGCATTACTGCTTCACGGCAGAAATAGGCAGGGTTGTAGTACCTACCCGCGCGGACTCACGGAGGTCCTACCACCAGCTATTGTTAAAGTGTAAAATATTGCACATCATGCTATGAGGCTCACATTACTTATGTAACTATTTGGTATGTAGTTTATTAGCGAACAAAGGCAGATAATCTTAAAGTTCACCGAGCAC